AAAAATAGAAAAAAAAGACAAAAGAAAAAATATCAGACAAACATATGGGAGGGCAATAACTGTTCATATAAACGTTTATGACCATCAGACTTGACACCAATATAAAGTACTGAATGAACCACATGGATATTAGTATATTTAATATGATTTTCCCGTAGTAATTTTTTAATTGATGTAATCTTCATGTTTGCTGGACGTATTATTTCGTAATTGTAGCGATTTGCTCGGTGGCGACGACTAGTTTTTTGATTTCGCTTTTTCTTGGCAATTGATGATCGTTTATGAGAACGAGGTACAGTTGGTGGAACAAGTGCAGGTGCTTCTGTTTCTTGTTGATAATCCATTTGAATAATGTGAGATGGAGATTGATGACGTTCATTTGGAACATGAACGGCCACCAACTCGGTATGGTATTCTTCCGAAGAAGATGAACTGTCGTCACTAAGCTGAAACATATCTGACAAAACGGTTAAATTATTCGACAAAATATACTCGCCTGAAGTTTGTGGTTCTTGGTGTATATAATTGGTGTCGAGTAGAATGTTTGATTGTTGCATAATTAAATTTATATGTGCTACATTAACACAATCGAGGCAAGCATACTTAATTAAATTTTTACGATAACTTGAAGAAAATGATGTATCATGTGTAGGTAATTTAACATCTAAGCCAATGGATCATCGTCGTAAAGTTTCACGTTTAGATAAATATTGTCCAAACGTGTAAACTACTGCATCTTGTAAACTCCACGTTTCACCGGAAGAAAACTTTTTGTCGTTCATCAATTGTGTCGGTAAGATTAACGTAGGATCATATGCAGGTGCATTAATGATCACTATATCATTAACATCTTCGTTGATATTGTCAGGTGACGATGAATAATATTTTTTAATCCATTGATTAAACCAAGATTTGAAGTGACCTTGAGTATTGTAATTCGTTGTTCGTATAGGTAATGAAAAAAGTTTGCATGGTAAAAAACGATTTAATTCATCAGATATAAATCCCCACGAATATAAAATTGATCGAAGACTAAATATATAATCAAATAATTCTTTAAATTTTAAAAATAATGATGATGAATAATGAGGAAGAAAATCAATTTCGACTAATAGCAATGGAGATGCTATATTAAGTGATGTAACAAAATAAATTTGTATAAGAGCTGGTGTTTTTGATGTGCAATTACATTCTGTATCAATGACAAAATGTGTTGTAGTTTGAGCAATAGTAATCAAATAATTAATTTCTTCTTCCGATGTGACTTCGTTGATAAAATAAATGCAATATTTGTAAAGTGGTTCATAAGGTGGAAATAATTCTTCATATGTTAATTCTTTTTCATTTTTATGTTCAAAACGACGACGATTTTTTAATGATTTTTTTGTTGGCATTATACCAGATAATTTAAATAAACACGTGAAACTTGTTCACAGTAATAGAGATATCATAAATAAATAACCAATACGAACTAAATGAATTAAACCAATTGTAAACAATAAGTGGATAGCACCAAATCAAATGACTAAACATATAAGTAAATAAACAAAATAATAAACAGAACCAAAATGGAAAAACATAGAAAGATGATTAAGTACAACAAATAAAAGAGAGAAAGAGAAAAAAAAATGGATATGAAACAATTAAAAACAGGACTAGTGATCACGTCTGCAGAGTTGATAATCTATAATGAGAAATAATCACATTAATAAACATGAAAGTGAACAGACTAAATATAAGAGAAAGAAAAAAATAATAACAACCAAAACCAGAGGTTAAATGTGTAAAGTGTAAATAGAAGTCACATAAGTAAATAAACAACAATAACAGAACGTGATAATCTCTTGATAAGTGGACAAATCAATGGACAAATGACTAAGTGGACATGTTATACTTATAGACGATAAATAAATAAAATAATAGATGACGTAACATGAGATGTAGTGCGTAAAACAATATAATTCATTGGTCAAGTGTCATTCATATAACTTAATATGTCAATATAATTTGTATGTATGATAAATGTGGATACATATATGTATACATATATCAACGATTTAAATAAATATATGAAATATTTTATAAATAAAATAATTAATTATATGTTGATATAAATATGTAATAATAACTTGGGCATATATAAATACATGTTATTGTAATATAGTTGATAGTGTTAGTTGAACGTAACATAATATTTTATTTTATCATATTTTTGTTTTATCATGTTTTTGTTTTATCATGATAAGTTGTTTGGTTGTATTATTTGATGTTTACATATTAATTTATTATCATATATATTTATAGACATATGTTTTTATTTATATATATATATATATATGGATATACATATTTCATATATAGTTATATATATATATATAAGTGAATATTGGTATATATGTAAACCTACGCGTAATTATAAAAATATTTAATACTCACAAATGATGAAGACGACAAGTTCGTAATTGAGAAACGTGTACTTGATGTGTTTGATGATTTTTCGGATCTTGTATCCAATAAGTTGGATGTTTACTTTTAACCACGATCATAGGATCAGAATAAAGTTCACCTAGTTTAGTGTGTTGAGTGGTAAGTTGTTTAAGTACTTGATCACCAACATGATAAACTAAATTAGGACGATTACGGTCATAATACTGTTTATAACTTTGTTGACCTTTAATTATATTATTTGTTGCATGTTGATGATACAATTGTAATGTTTTTTGGAGATGACGAAAATAATCATTCGGTTTTGAAAATTGATAAGTTGTTGTTGGTTGATCTGGTGGTAACTTAGGTTGACGTCCGAATTGTAACTGATATGGCGAATATTTTGTTGTTGCATGTTGGCCAGTATTGTAAGCGAAAACAATAGATTTTAAATGTAAATCCCAATCATTAATATGTTTATTTGTTAATTTTGATAATTGTCGTTCAAAGGTTGAATTAAATCGTTCAATTGCACCATTTGTTTGAGGGTGATAAGGAGTTGATTTAATATGATGACAACCTAAAATTTGTGTAAATGCGATTATTAATTGATTGTTGAAATGAGGACCTTGATCCGACAAAATTGTATTTGGTACACCATAAATACATATGTAGTGTTCAAATAAAGCTTCAGCAGTTGTTTGAGCAGTTTGATTTGGTAAAGGAACTGCTATAACCCATTTAGTAAAATAATCAGTAACAGCTAAGACATATTTATTTTCTTGAGGCGTCGTGGGAAATGGACCTGAAAAATCGATTCCGATTAATTGAAAAGGACCGTGAGGGGGTTCAATAGGATGTAATAAACCAGCAGATTTTTTACGATTAATGTTAAATTTTTGACATAACATGCATGTTTGGATGTAACTGTGTATTGTAAGTTTCATATTTGGCCACCAACATTTATCTTTTACTTTTAAATATGTTCGACGATAACCAAAATGTCCAGCCCAAGGACTATCATGATAAGCTTTTAATAATTGTGGAACCATTGCTGATGAAACATAAATTAATTTTTGTTGAAATATACCACGATTAATTATTTTATACAACATGTCATTTTCTAATACATATAAACAATTGGTTTGCTTTTTATTTATTTCTAATAATTTTTCCCGATATAGTTTATCATCTTTTTGGGCTTTGGCAATAACAGACACATCAAACGCATGACCAACCACTTTCTGCGATTGATCATCTGTTGATGATGTTGTTACAGAAGTAGGGTTAGTATCAATTAATTTTTGTGGATTAGTTTGTGCTTTTGCTTGAGCACGAGTGGTGACAGCACTAATAAGATTTGGAATAATTAAATTGTTGTTGTTTAATTGTGGTTTATTTTTTTTCATTTTCTATGGCGGGTATAATACCAAAATCAGGTTCAAGAAAATCATCATCATCTTCCGTTTGACGAGGATACCTAGTTAAATAATCAGCAATACAATTACATTTACCTGATACATGACGAATTTCTTTAATATTGTATTGTTGTAGTACTAATGATATACGATCAACACGACGATTATTTGATGGTTTTAAATGCATATCACGTAATGGACAATGATCCGTTTGAACAATAAATTCATGACCTTGTGAATATAATTTCATACGAGTAACACAATAACAGATAGCCAATGCTTCTTTTTCAATTGTTGGCCATTTTCGTTGTAATTTTGGTAACATTTGAGAATAAAAATAAATATTTTTTCTTTCATCATTAATTTCTTGATATAGAACACCACCAATGCAATAATCTGATACATCAGTTGCTAACATGAGAGGTGTATTTGGATCAGGATATGTTAAAAATAATGGTTCAGATGTAATAGCTGTTTTTAATTGAGTAAAAGCTTTTTTTTGTGGTATGTCCCATTTAAATTTATATTTATTTTGTTTAGTTAAATTTGTAACTGCTAATATTGGTGCAGCTAATTTTGCATAATCTTTAATAAATTTACGATACCACCCAATGGCACCTATAAAAGCATTTGCTTGATGTAATGTTGTTGGTTGTGGAATAGCTAAAATTTTTTCAATACGTTCTTGTAATGGTTTAATACCTTGAATACTAATTGTATGACCTAAATAATCAATGTTTGTTTTTACAAATTCACATTTTTGTGGATTGAGTTGAAATTTATGCTTGTTGAGAACGGCTAATACTTGATTTAAATGGTCTATGTGTTGTATAAATGAATCAGAATAAATTAATATATCATCCAAATAAACTAAACAAAATTTTTTGCATGGTAATAATAAATTTGACATGATTCGTTGAAATGATGGTGAACTGTTTTTTAAACCTTGTGCTAAAACGTTGAATTCGTAAAGTCCATGAACAGTAATAAAAGCCGTCTTGTGTTTATCTTCTTCACGAATAGGTATTTGAAAATACCCTGAACGAAGATCTAATTTTGTATAATATTGATGGCCACCAACCATTTGTATAGCTTGTTCAAGATTAGGCAATGGATAATTATCTTGAATAGTTATACTATTTAATTTACGGTAATCAACAATAAATCGATATGAGCCATCACGTTTTTTAATTAATAGAACAGGTGCTGAGTATTGAGAATGTGACTCACGAATTTGTTTATGTTTTAACATTTGTTGAAGAATATCAAAGGTTGCATTTTGTTTATCAATAGTTTGTGGATACGGTCGAGATGTTGTTGGTGGATTATTACCAGTACAAATAACATGAGGTGTTGATGTTTCAGCAATAGTTGTTTTGGATGTATCAAATAAAGATGAATGCTTTTCTAAAACAGCCTTTAATTCAGTCAATTGTTGTTGATGTTTTATATGTGTAATTAAGGAATCAATATGTTGTTGACCAAGTGGATTTAATGAATTGGGTTTATCATCATCAAAGTTATTGTTTGTATGTGGATCAAAAACAGTAGAAACATTATTAGATGATAAAGGTGTAACAATACCTATAATAATATTTTTATTTAAATAACAAGGCTTAGCTGTTGGATTATAAACAGAAATAAAAGCTGTGTGATTTTTTATAGAAATTAACGAATGTGGTATAATTAAACCTCGTATGTGAGTAATATGATAAGCAGGAGAAAATAATAATTGCCCAAAAGATACTTGTGAAATAATTTTTAATTGTTTTTCTTCATATGGATGTAAATATTCAGATTTTTTCGTACGACAAATAATTCGAATTTTTTCAGATGGATCTTCCATTGGTCTTGTAATTTTTTGTGAGGCTGTATAAACTTGAACTTGTTTTTGTTTATTATTAAGATTAACTTTATATTTATTAATATAGTCCATACCTAGAATACAATCTGTACATAAAGAGTTAACAACACCAACTAGTATGTTAGTTTTTATATGATTCATTTCAATAAAAATTCTTACTGTACCAATAACTTCAAATGGTGTATGACCATCTGCCATAACATAATGCTGTTGATTAAAATGAATTGATAAATGTTGTATACGTTTTAATGCTATTTGGTTAATGAAAGATTTTGTTGATCCCGAATCAAACATAATTCTCATATAAATTTGATTGATTTTTGCATTAATAAAAATTGGTGATGGATTTTGTATAGAGTTGCAGGAATCGCCACCACCTTGTGGCGACTCCTCTATTGAAAATGTGGGCAATTATGAATATAATGATCATTTGCACCACACTTGTAACATTGATATGGTGGTTTAGGTATTGTATTGTTATATGGAACTTGATTTGGTGTTGTATTGTTGAATATTCGTTTCGGATTAGTGTTGTTATAATTTGGTTTGTAATAGACGTTATTGTGATTTGGTTGCCGAGGTATAGATGGCTGATTAATTTGTTGCGGCTTGTTATTTATGTTATTTGAATTAATTGTTGGTGGTTTTGTGAACTTTTGTTTATCCAAATATGTTAGTACATCTTGTTTATCATCTAATGATTTCAATTCTTCAATCATTTGAGCATATTCTAAAAATTCTTCTGGATTTTTTGGATTTTTTAATAGTACGTCAAAACGTAATGAAGGTTTTAAACTATCTTTTAAATATTGTAATTTACTAACATCGTCCATAATTGGATTAGCTTCTTTACATAATTTCATAACTTCAAAATAATAGTGGCGTACATCCTGATTAATACCTTGCTCATAATGTCGTAAACGATTAAATGCAATACTACCTTTTCCTGAAGATTCAAATGTTTTTAATAAATTTTGTGTAAATATGGACCACGTTGAACATAAATGAGGATTATCATAAAACCAATCCCGTGCATCTGCTTCTAAACATAAAGATACATAAAAAAGTTTTTCATCATCGGTTAACTTAAACATGTTCATTGTTTGTTGAATTTCTCGTAACCAGTTTGATACATTTTGTTGCAATTTACCAGAATATTTTTGTAATTTTTCGAGGTTCGTAATTAATAATTGGTTTCGTAAACAATTCGTAACAGTATCTTGACAACTATCAGCTTCTAATGGCTTCGATGGCATAGCTGACGAAACAAATTCTCTTGAAAAATCTGTCTTTAACTCTTGATTATCGAAATGTTGTAAAAATTTCTTCATAAATGTAATAAAGGTTGGCATATGATCTTGTTGTTCAACATACCAAATAAGTGCTTCACCAGTCAGAATTTCTGAAATTAATTCGTTACGTTCAAGAGATGTAAATTGTAATAAATCAAATTTCTCTATAATATGTTTTAACCAAATTTTTGGATTACCAAGTCCATCGAATTTTTATATTGAATTTAATTGTTGTCGTACTAAAGATTGTTGTTTTGCATCAGTTTCTACTGATCACTGATCATCCAAATTATGACCTAGCGTATATGTTGTTGATTCCGTAAGAGTTTTAACATTTTTATTAAGATCAAGTTTTGTAAATGTAGAATCAATAT